TGACCACTCTCAGCAGACTCCCCATCCACATGTCTTTCTGCCCCCTAAAAGGTGGTGAGGTGTCCCCCCACCTGTCTGGACATGAGTTCTAGATCCCAAACTACTTTAAAACAATAATAAAACAAGGGGCTGGCAAGATGACTCAGTAGGTAAAGGAGCTTGCGGCCAAGCCCGACTTGCTGAGTTTGATCCCTGGAACCCACGTGGTAGAATGAGAAAACCAACCGACTCCTGGAAGTTATTCTCTGAGCTCCACACATACACTGTGCCACACATGGGTTGTTGGTGCTGTCCAAAAGGCTGACTCTCTCCTTTGCTTGTGTTCCTTGCAGGTTTGTGAGCTGTGACTAGGGTGACTGAGCTGTCCCTTTAAAGGGCTGCTGTCACAGAGCTCTCTTTTGTACTCAGCCTGCTCCTTTCTATAACTGCTGTTTATGTGGCTTGTTTGGGGTCAGAAAGGACAACAGAGGACCACCTTCATGTTAAACATGAACCCTGGCCTCTCACATTCTAAGGTGAATGTGCCTCAGGGGACAGCATCCAGGGTTTGTCACCTTCATGTTAAAAGGCCTAGAAGGGAGCACACCTGGCAGAGGTCTGCCTATGTCACCTGGAGTTTGGTTATCAAAGGGAATCTTTAGATGGGGCTGTAGCTCAGTGGTAGAGCACCTGCCTAGAATCCCCCAGTGAGGGGTGGCTCAGTGGTAGAGCACCTACCTAGATTCCCCCAGTGAGGGGTTGGGAGTGTTGTTTAGTGCAAAAGAGTTTGTGTAGCATGTGTGAAACCTTAGCTTCTATACCCAACATCCCCCAGTCTGGGATTTGTTAGGATGTTATTTCTTGAATGAGTCTGCACAGGATCCACGTCCCTTCTCACTGCCATGCGTATCTCAGTCCCACGTTTGTAGTGAGCAGGTCTCCAGGCCTCCAGTCCTGGAGGAGAAGCTATGGCTTCAGTGGCCCGCTCACAGTTTCCTCTTCTGCTGTGGTGGTAGCTGACTTAATACTTGAATTGTTCTTTAACAGTGTGCCACTGTGTTCTCCAGTGTGGCCTGGCCTCACCATCGTCCTGCCTTGGGCTCCCCAGTGCTGGAACTACTGCCTGCACCACACCTGGCAGAGGCAGTTTAGATCATTCCTCCCATTTTCCAGTGTCTAGCTCTGCCTTAGCTGGAGTCTGTGGGTTAATGTGTGGTATTCTCACATTCATTCAGCCCTGTATGTTATTAAATCTTATCTTTAAGGGGCTGGGGTGGCCCTGGGAATAAAGTGATTGCCACACAGGCTTGATGTCCTGAATTTGATCCCAGGAGTGTGTGTAAAAAGCCAGATGTAGTGATGTGTAAGCCAGATGTAGTGATGTGTAATTCCAGCACGCCTAAGACAAGATGGGATGCAGAGACAGGAGCATCTCCCAGAGGTTCATTACAGTGCAGTAGCAGAAACCACGAGGGGAACCTTGTCTCCTGACAAGCTGGAAGGAGAGAACCAACTGCAGAAGCTGTCCTCTGATGTCCACCCACCCACACGCTGTGACATTCTTTCTCACACTTTAGAGGAAGGAGAGATAAACCAGAAAATTCTCTCTCTCTGCCTCTCTCCCTCCTTCCCTTGTTTTCTCTCACATATGTACTTTGTAAGAGGGAAATAAACTAGAAAATTCCCTCTCTGTGTGTCTGTGTGTGTCTCTCTCATACACACAGTTCTTCTGATGCATGGTGGTGCATGCCAGCACTTGGGAAGCTGAGGCAGGAGAATTGTGAATTTGGAGCCAGTCTGGCCGACATAGTGAAACCCCATCTCAAACAAGAAACAAAATTCCCTGTGTGGTTTCTGTAGCCTATGGATTATATAGGAATGGGCCATATAATTTCCATGTTTTTGGAGATTTTCCTGTCAGTGTTCTGGTATTGATTTCTAGTTTTGGGTTTTTGTTTGTTTTTTTCTCCTTATAACCAAAGAATTTTGAGTGACTTCAGTTCTGTTAAATAGGTCTGTTTGGTCTACCATGATGAGTGTTGGGTTGCTCACGGGAAAAATTGTGAATTCACTTGTTCCAGGAACATTATGCACGTGTCAGTTACACCCTGTTGGTTGCTGGTGTAGTTTTTGTTGATTTTCTGTCTAGTAGGTCTCTTGGTTACAGAGAGTAGTGTTGGGGCTGGAAAGATGGCTCAGCAGTTAAGAACACTGGCTGCTCTTGCAGAGGATGCAGGTTTGGTTCCCAGCACCCACATGGCAGCTAAGAACCAGCTCTAGCTCCAGTTCCAGGGGATCCAATGCCCTCTTCTTGCCTCCAAGGGCATTGGACTCACGTGTACATATCCTCACACAGACACACACATATATACACGTAATTAAAACAACACACATACATGTACACACACATATAATTAAAAATAAAATCAGGGGCTTGAGGGTTAACTCAGCAGATAAAAGGACTGGCTGCTCTTCTAGATGTCCTGAGTTTGGTTCCCAGGACCCACATAGCAGCTAACAACTGTCTAGCTCCAATTCCAGGGGATCCAACACCCTGTTCTGACCTCCACAGGCATTGCACTGCACAGGAGTACCTACATACATAAACACTCATACACATAAATAAAATAAATCAAAACTTTAAAAAAAATATTTTTTTAATGTGTATGCATGTATTGCCTGCATGTAGGTAAGTGCATCCGTGTCATGCAATGCCTGCGGAGGACAGAAGAGGCTGTTGGATCCCCTGGAACTGGAGTTTCGGACAGTTGTTAGCTGCCCTATGGGTGCTGGGATTCAAACCTGTGTCTTCTTCAAGAACAGTCAGTGTTCTTAACCCCTAAGCCATCTCTCCAGCCCCCGAATAAAACTTTTTCTTTTTGTCTTTTTGAGACAGTCTTTTTGTTGCCCTAGCTGTCCTGGAACTCACTATGTAGACCAGGCTGGCCTTGAACTCACAGAGATCTGCCTGCCTCTGCCTCCCAAGTGCTGGGATTAAAGGTGTGTACCACCATGCCTGGCTCCAAAAAAACTTTTTAATGAAATCAAAACCAAGCATAGTGATGCACATCTTTAATCCCAGTGCTCAGGAGGAGGTGGCAGGCAGACTGAGGCTAGCCTGACCTACATAGCAAGTTCCAGGCCAGCTGGGTCTACAGGGAGACCCTGTCTCAAAATACCAAAATAATAATAATTATTATTATTATTATAAAATAAAGTGAAATGTTGAAATCTCCAATTGTAAATGTGTATTTTCTTTCTAAGCATAACTTAGCTCTGTAAAAAAATATTTTTGAGACAGGATTTTCATGTAGCCCAGGCTATCTTTAAACTCACTATGTAGCCCAGGATGACTTTGAATTCCTGATCCTCCTGCCTTTACCTCCTGAGTGCTGAATCACAGGCATGTGCCACCACACTTGGTTTTATGCAGTGCTGGGGGTGGAACCCAGGGCTCAGTGCTTGCTAGGAAAACTCTCTGCTAACTGAGCTCCATCTCCGGCTCGAATTTTTGCTTTATGTATTTTGAAGCTGTATCGTTCGGTGCATATGAGTTTAGGGCTATTATGTTTTCTTCATAGACTGAAATTTTGTCATGATGTAACTTCTTGTCTTTTTTTTTTCCTTCTTTTTTTCCCTTTACTTCATCTGGTATAAATATATCCATTTTTCTTGCTTTTGATTAATGTTTGCATGGCTAGTGTTTTATGTCTTCCTGGAAAGGACTGGAGAAAGTAGAATGCCAGCCAGCCCCACCTCCATCTCCTCAGTCCACCCCATCCCTGATGTGGGGATGTGGGATGTGGTGGAGCTCAGCTCCCATGGGCCCTGGAATCAATACCATTATGCCACCTCAGTCGTCTCCCAGCTGCTGATGCCACATGGGGTCAAGGCCCAGGCTCCCAGGCCATCACCACGCTGCCAGTCACAGCACCTCTTAATTCTATGGGTGGGACTTGGGGATCAGCTCCCTGCTCAACCCCCCATGACCACCACTTGGTGCCTGGCAGACAGACATATGGCATCTGCTTTGATGGGGCAAAGCCTGGATCCCAGGAAGCACTGATAGCATTTTCCATTGGTGCTTGGCTTAAGTAGGGTGGCATTGTTGGGCCAATTTTCCTGTCGCTAGGCCGCTGCTGGCATGCCCCTGGCCTCACCCAGGAACTGTTGCTCTTCCTTGGGGACCACTGGTGGTATTCTGGAACCTTCACAGCCATGCCAGCCTCAGCTACCTGCCCCTGACCAGGTCCCTGCCAGCCAGGTGCTCTGGGGGCAGACCATACCAGAGGCAGGCTGTTCAGCTCTGGACCCTGAGCATCCACTGTCTGCTGAGGTTGGACCTGGTTCTGCTGTGCTTGCTAGGTCTGAGACTGTGAAGCAGAGGGCTTTTCAAAAGGGGAGGAGCTGCCCAAGCATTGGGTGAGCTTGAGCTTTAGCCTCGTGGTGACAGATGCTCATATCCTGCCCTGGCTCCTTCCCTGGCCCCTCCTCAGAGGGGTTGGTGCCTCCCAGTGGTCAGCTTCTGTGAAACCTTTTTCCCTTCCCTCCCTCCTTCTCTCCTTTCTCAGTGTCTCATTCCTCTGTGTCTGTATGTGGTAGAGACCAGAGTCAGTGTCAGACGTCTCCCTCATCCACTCCACCTTATGTTTTGAGACAAGATCTCACACCAAACCTAGAGCTCACCATTTTGGCTAGGCTGGCTGACCAACCACTGGGATGGTGGGATGTGCCCGCCTCCACTTCCAGGTCTGGCATTGCAGATACTTGCTGCCAGGCCTGGCTGTTTGCGTGGGTGCTGGATCTGAACTCAGGTCCTCATGCTTGCACGACAAGCACTTCACCCACTGAAACGAACGTTCTCTAATTAATTTGTTGGACACATGGAGGCTGGAGGTGGGGGCTGGAGGGAAGTGGAGGGGGGTCCTGGCATCAGCAACACCCACCACCCAAGGCCCTGCAGACAGGAGACAAACCCCCTTTTGGTCTCAGCATCTAACCCTGTGTGTTGGTCTCTTCAGGTTCATCTCTGAGCGCCATGTCCTGGCTCTTCACAAGGCTGAAGTGAGGGGTCAGGTGCCGGCCCTGCCCCGGGCCAGGGCAGCATGACCAAGCCACGACTTTTCCGGCTGTGGCTGGTGCTGGGGTCCGCCCTCATGATTGTCTTAATCATTGTGTATTGGGACAACGTAGGCACTGCTCACTTCTACCTGCACACGTCGCTGTCCAGGCCTCACACCCTGGAGCCCCTTCCCACACCCAGGCAGGGTGAAGAGAATGAGTTCGCTTCCGATGTGGATGAATTTTTGGATAAGCTTCTTAGCTCTGGTGCCAAGCAGAGGGACCATTCCAGAAGAAAGACGGAGCAGCCTCCAGTACTGGCCCCGAGCAACCCTGCACTGAGTCGCATGGAGGAGAGCGTTCGTGGCTATGACTGGTCTCCCCACAATGCCCAGCAGAACCCAGACCAGGACCGACAACAGGCCGAGAGGAAAAACCTACTGCGAGACTTCTGTGCCAATACCAGCCTGGCATTCCCCACCAAGGACCGCTCTTTCGATGACATCCCTAACTATGAATTGAACCACCTGATCGTGGACGACCGCCATGGAATCATCTACTGCTACGTGCCCAAAGTGGCCTGTACCAACTGGAAGCGAGTGATGATCGTGCTGAGCGAGAGCCTGCTGGACCGCGGTGCCCCCTACCGTGACCCCCTGGACATCCCCCGCGAACATGTGCACAACTCCAGCACACACCTGACCTTCAACAAGTTCTGGCGACGCTATGGAAAGTTCTCCCGCCATCTCATGAAGATCAAACTGAAGAAATATACCAAGTTTCTGTTTGTGCGGGACCCCTTTGTGCGCCTCATCTCCGCCTTCCGCAGCAAGTTTGAGCTGGAGAATGAGGAATTCTATCGCAAATTTGCAGTGCCCATGCTGAGGCTGTACGCCAACCACACCAGCCTGCCTGCCTCGGTGAGCGAGGCCTTCAGCGCAGGCCTTAAGGTCTCCTTTGCTAACTTCATCCAGTACCTGCTGGACCCACACACTGAGAAACTGGCGCCCTTCAACGAGCACTGGCGCCAGGTATACCGCCTGTGCCACCCGTGCCAGATAGACTATGACTTTGTGGGCAAGCTGGAGACGCTGGACGAGGATGCCGCCCAGCTCCTGAGGTTCCTCAAGGTGGACACACAGCTCCACTTCCCTCCAAGCTACCGGAACAGGACTGCCAGTAGCTGGGAGGAGGACTGGTTCGCCAACATCCCCCTGGCCTGGAGACAGCAGCTCTACAAACTCTATGAAGCAGACTTTGTCCTCTTTGGCTACCCCAAGCCAGAAAACCTGCTCAGGGACTGAGCTCCCCAGTACTCAATACACACTCAACGTCATCCCTTTAACCCTGTGTCTGTCTCAGTGTGTCTATCCTCTGAGGATGGGACCCTGTGGCCATTTGGGTTTTCTTGTGACTTTCTTCCCCTCCTAGTATGATGGAGAGGATGGCACGATGGGATGCCCTCCCCATCAAAGACGCTGGGACAACCCAGACCCCAGCACCTCATGCTCTGGGGTCTCACCTTTCCCACCCTTTTGCAATTGACTCTTTGTTTACTCCACAGCCTGTATTCACGGAACACTGTGTTAATATTGTTTTCTAAGATTAATATATTTCAGATATATTTAATACAAAAGTGGGAGGGAGCTGGAGTAAAGTGTGGCACCCAGACTCTTGTACTTCTTGTACACATGGAGGGGCGTAGGGGTTAATGGGGTCTCTGTGCCTATGTGCCCTCGAGGAGGGAGGTCTCAAAGGTGCCTTCAATGGAGAAAAAGAGCTGAAATGGCTCACAGTGTGGTGGTTCAAGGGCCTGGTACCAGTGTCCACTTAGCTCTGATGAGGACCTCAGGGAGGTGACAGTGGCAGGAATGTGTGTAAGAGGGAGCAGTCTCTCCAGACAGGAGGCAGAGCATGGCAGTAGTCCTGCAGCCCCTTCTGAGGGCATTCCCTCAGATTCCAGCTCTAGGTCCATCCTTGATCCCTGAGTTGGTGACCAAGCCTCCAACTCAGGGACCCTTGGGGAACTCAAACCATTCCTCACTGTATCACAGGCCTGCCTGTGTTTTTATTTTAAATTTATTTTTGTTTTATGTGTATGAGTGTTTGCCTACATGTAGGTAAGTGTACCATGTACATGCAGTGCCTGAAGAGATCAGAAGAGGGCATTGGACCCCCTGGAACTGGAGTTACTCATAGTTGTTAACCACCATGTGGGTGCAGGGAATTGAACCCAGGTCCTCTGCAAGGGCAGCCAGTGCTCTAAACCACCAAGTCAGGTCTCCAGCCCCCGGGGCAACCCCTTTACTCTTCTGATCACACTCCTGTGGAATTTTAGCTTTTAACCCACACATAGTGTGGCACCCACAGCCCCCTCCCCTCATCTTTTCACCTGGGGCCTTTGGTCCCACCACTCAGTTCCTGAGGAGCTGACTGTGCTCCGCTGGGGTGTCACTTGTATCCTTGAGGGTCCTGCAGGACTGAAGTCCTCCTGGCCTGTGGCTGCTGGTACCCTTGTGCTCAGCCTGCACTGTATTAGGAAGTGTCCCTCTTCCTTGATGTTGTTCAAAAAGAATAGTTAGCAGCAGAGAGGTTTAGTGTTGTGAATTTTTTTTTTCTTTTTCTTGAGATAGGATCTATGTAGCCCTGGCTGGCCTGGAACTCACTATGTGGACCAGGCTGACCTCAAACTCACAGAGATCTACCTGCTTCTGCCTCCTAAGTGCTGGAATCAAAGGCGTGCACCACAATGCCCAACCTTGTTTATTTATTTAGTTATTTATTCATTCATTCATTCATTCATTCATTTTTTTTAAAGACCAGGTCTCTCTTTGTAGCTCAGGCTGGCCCCAAACTTGGGGTCCCCCTTCCTCTTCCTCCCAAATGCTGGGACTCATGTCATCCTGAACACCTAACGATCACTTCTCAGACTTGGAGTTCTTTGCCTACCTTTTCCTCTGATCAATGTAGATTTTTACCATGGTCCTGTAAGATCTGGGTGCAGGAGCTTGGGAGATAGCTCAGTTGGTGCTGTTCTGCAAGCATGCAGATCTGTGTTCAACCCCTAGCACCCACATTTTAAAAAACAGGCATGGTGGTGTGAACTTGTAACCCCAGTGCTGGGGAGGCACAGACAGGCAGATCCCTGGGGCTCACCGGCCAACCAGCCTAGCCTAATTGGCAAGTTCCAGGCCAGTAAGAGACCCTGTCTCAAAAACCAAGGTGGATGGCACCTGATGAATGACACCCGAGGTTGACTTCTGGCATCCACATATAGGCACAAGAAGACCTGGGCCAAGTGCCACGTGTGGTGCCGAGTCCACTATGATTGCTTTTGTTACTTTTGTGTGCCCACTTGTGCCCTCAGGTGCTGGGTCTGTTGTCATTTGGGGAAGGGACCTGTGTGGTGGGGTCTGCACCTGTTTTCTGGTGCAGCTGTCAATGCTGAGTTCTGTATTTCTTACCTCACATGGGTGCTTGGCTGAGTGGACAGAGTGGGCATCTCTCCCTGTTCCCTTCCCCCTTCTGGCACCTCCTGTTTGTTCACACAGGTCATGCACCTGCTGCGGCTTCTTGGCAGTGTGTAGGCTTCTGTGTGCTGCCCTCTCACTATTCATTTGAAGACTTGGGTGCTTGGTGTTTGCTCTGTGTCTTGAGAGAAGGTAAGGACTGGTGGCCCTTTCTCTGTGAGGTCTGTGTTTTGTGTGTGTCTGTGCATTGAAGAGGACAGTTTTGGAGCCCAGGAGGGAGACAGAGGAGTGAGCTTTGCAGCTCTGACCCAGCCAGATACACACAGCCCATCCAAAAGGATGGCACCCCCAGGGTTTCCTCACAGAAGCACATGCCCTCTGTTGCAGACAGCACCTTCTGGTTGGCTGGCAGGCTGCATTTGGGAGTCTCTCTCCCTTTAACTGCCAGAAAAGAAAGGAGGAAGGAGGACAATGGAAAGACGGAGAAGGGAAGGAAGAAGGAAAGAGGAAGAGAGGGAGGGAGAAAAGAGACCAATGAAAGAGGAAGAGGAAGGGAGGTGGGAAAAAGGAAGGAGGTAGGACAAGGGTGGAGAGAAGGGGGGGAGGAGGGAAAGACTGGCTGGTTACCACCTCAGCCTGGCTCCAGCCAGGTGAGCTACAATGAGGAAGATGGGAGGGGCTTGGTCCTACAGATGTGGGGTTCGGAGCTCTGCACTTTCTAAGCGTGACATTGTGAGACTTTCAGCGGTGGTTTCTGTGGAGTGTCATCTGTTCAGATCTGCAGTGATAACAAGTCTCTTTTTTTCCCTCTTGTTGACACAGATTCCCACTATGTAACCCAGGGCCGTTGAACTCCTGGCAGCCCTCCTGCCTCAGCCTCCCAAATGCTAAGATGACAGATGCTGGCTGCTCTATCCAGCTGCTAATTTCCCTTCTTCCAGAGTGTGGAGCAATTCAGTGTTTTAGCGGTTGCAGACCCACTTAGGAGGGAAGACTCAAATATTGGAAGGAGCTGCGCCTCTGTCCAGCTGCAGGAACTACGATGTTACTCAGGGGTGCTCTGAGCTTTCTGGGGCTCCTGCTTCTGAATGTGAATTCCTCAGACATCCATTCTAGGGGGACATTTCTTAGTGTTACATGGCACTAAGCTGTTTTCTATAGCAGAGCAGTGGTGTCTTCAGAGCCCTATCCCTCAGTTTCCATGAATGGAAGCTGGTTTCCTGGCAGGGTTATCTCTCCTCTGTCCTCATCCCACCATGTGGGACAGCAGATCAAAGGGGTGACGCTGCTGGTAGAGGGCTTGGGACAGTTTGTTCTCATCAGCCTTGCCCTGAAGAATAACAGGCTCCCCCAAATCACACAGCCTGCAGAGCTGGTCCCACCCCGCATTCCCTCACCAATAACTTGGCTGGGCAGTTCCCTAGCCAAGTTATTCAGGGATGGTGACAACACAGTTATTTATAAGCCACATGCCCACCACATACGCCAGAATATAGGAAATGGAAGGCTAAAGGGACCAGGGTGATGGCTGTGTTGGTAAGTGCTTGCCTTGCAAGCAGGAAGACTCCTTAGAACCCAAGAGCCCATGTAAAAAAGCCAGGCATGCTGGGCGCAGTGGCACTCGCCTTTAATCCCAACATCGGGGAGGTAGAGGCAGATGACTCTGTGAGTTTTAAGTCAGCCTGAACTGAATAGTGAGTTCAGGTCAGCCAAGGCTATAGGGAGACCCTGTCTCGAAAACAAAATAAAAAAACAAAGCCAGACCTGGTGGTGCACTCTCACAACCCCAGTACTGGTGAGGCAGAGACAGGTGGATCTCTGTTTCACCAGACAAGCAGCCTAGCCTACTTAGTGAATCCCAGTGTGAACGACCCTGTCCCAAAACACAAGGCTGGAGAGATGGCTCAGTTGGTAAAGGGCTTGCTGTGCAAAAGTGGGGACTTAAGTTTGAATCCCAAGAACCCACATAAAAGCCAGATGTGGAAGTGACACGTCTATAATCCCTTTGGTGAGATGGAGGGCACAGACGGGAATCCCTGGAAGCTTATGGACCAGCTAGCCTGGCATGGGCAGGGATCAACAAGAAACCCAGACTCTAAAAGGGTGGAAGGTGAGGACTGACACCTGAGGTTGTCCTCTGACCTTCACATGTGCTGTGGCATGTACTTATCCATACCATAACAAAAGTTTTAATATTTTTTATTTATTGTTTTTATTTTATGTGTATGCATGTATTGCCTGTGTGTAGATAAGTGCACTGGTGTTGTGCAATGCCCTCGGAGAACAGAAAAGACTGTCGGATCCCCTGGGACTGGAGTTACGGACAGTTGTTAGCTGCCATGTGGGTGCTGGGAATTCAAACCCAGGTCTTCTGCAAGAACAACCAGTGTTCTTAACCGCTGAGCCATCTCTTCAGCCCCACAACACAAATTTTAAAAAACCAAAAGGGACAATATCTAAGGAATGACAGCCAGGGTGTGCACGCATGTACCTGCACATGTACAGACACAAGATCAAACGGGTCACAGACATAATTAATCTAAGAATGAGGGGCTGGAGAGATGGCTCAGCAGATAAGAACACTGACTGATGCTGCAGAAGACCCCGGTTTGAATCCCAGCACGCACATGGCAGCTAACAACTGTCCTAACTCCAGTTCCAGGGGATCCGACAGTCTCTTCTGTCTTCCACAGGCATTGCATGACATGGGTGCACTTACCTACATGCAGGCAATACACACATACACATAAACTAAAAATAATAAAATTTTAAAAGTTAGCTGTGCATGTTAGTACACACCTGTAAGCTTAGCACTCAGGAGGCTGAGGCAGGAGGATCACAAATTTGAGGCCAGCCTGGGGTTTACATAATAAGAGCCTATCTCAAAAGGAAGACAATCTTAGGCTGGAGAGAAGGCTCAATGGTTAAGAGCAAGAGCTGCTCTTGCAGAGGACCCGGGTTCAGTTCCCAGCACCCAGATGGTGGCTGACAAATGCCTGCAACTCCAGTTGTAGGGGATCCAATGCCCTCTTTTGGCCTCCTCAGGCATCTGCATGCATGTGGTGCACATGCATACACTCAGGCACTCATACACATAAAATAAATAAATCTGCTGGGTATGGTGGCACATGCTTTTAATCCCAGCACTCAGGAGGCAGAGGCAGGTAGATCTCAATAAGTTCAAGGTCAGCCTGGTCTACA